AGTTATTTTAAAGGTTAAAAACTCATTCAATTGTATGTCTTACAGGGCTTATACTGAGTTCTTTTTTATTTTTTAATCTTATTGGTTCTTTGAGAATTTCATACAATGTATTTTCATCATAATTCAGATTCCCTTGCAGTTATAGTTGAATTTACAAAAAACAAAAAACAGTCTGAATCTTAGCATTTAAGGCCAAGAGTGGACCTCAACTCTGAGGCACCCGTTCCTTCAGAAGTCTCTTGTAACTGTGCTCTCCAGCCAGGCTTCCCTCATACTTTTTATTCAAACAGTGTCTTCAGCATCCCTAGGCCTGAAATATCACACACACACACACACACACACACACACACAATCAAAAGACTTCTCAAGTAGTCTCACTGTTTTCAAAGAGAATAGCACACTGTTTTCAGCACTTTGATGTGCTAAACAAGCACACCCACATTCATTCACTATCTTGGATGGAGGCGAAAGTGGAGTCCTGAGGGATTAAGGTCATATGCCCAGGTTACAAGAGGAGCACATGGCTCAATGAGCTTGTTTACAGTATAAAGAGTAACTTTTGGGTGCAAGGAGGTCATTAGTCCAGAAACTATCCATATTGTACAAGTCATTTCTACAGTTCTCTGTTTTATAAATGAAGAAGCATTCTGATACTGTAACAGAAGGCAAACTTGAAAAGTTACTCTGTTTCTCTTCTTTTACAAGCTCTTTCAATGTTATTTACCAGGGGCGCCTTCCCTGACTTCCTATAACAACTGTCAGGCTGTTAGTGAAAAGAGATTATTTATTTGTACTAAAGATTCATGACAATCATCTTTATGAATATATGATTCATATATATGAATATATGAATCATATATGTCAATTACATATAATTTTTTGAGAGATTTCCTGTAGCCACAGCTCATCTGTGTTAAGGTTCAGATAGCCCCGACCCCTCACCAACAGGGCCTCACGGACCTTGCAAGCAAGCCCCCTGAGAAAAGGGAACAGAGATGATAAGCACCCTAGTCTTTAAAGTCAAGAGAAGCAGACTCTTCTAAAAGGCAGCTTGCTTTTCCTTTGATCTCTGAAGACAAGATAAACAGATTCCACCTTATAACCAGAGACTTCAGGAGCCGCTTCAGCACAGCAGTTTTTCCCTTAAGAGAACAAAAACCAACACTCCTGGACCCAGATCCTGGCTGACAGACCAAAGCGAGCAAGTTTTAACAGTCCCGCTCTCCTGCTACACCCACCTGACTTTTAAAAAAATATATCTTCCCACCTTCTGCACCCCCCAGAAGCCTCCCCCTATAAAAGACCCCAGCTCATGACCCGGGCAGGTATTCTCCCTGCCCAGAAGGGAATCTGTCCCATGTGTTCCTTTGCTAATAAACTCTATTCTGATGGAATTTTGTCTGTGTCCTGGTGCTTTCTCCCAATCAACCAGATTCATCCATCGCCTACTTTACCTATCAGTCTGGAACTCCCTATGTAGACCGGGCTGGCCTCAATTTCACATAGATCCACCTGCCTTTACCTTCTGAATGCTGGGATTAAAGGCTACATATAATGCCTGGCATGTTTTTGTTTTGTTAAACAGGGTGTCATGAAGCCAAGGCTGGACTTGAACTCACTATATAGCTGAGACTGACCTCCAACTCATGATCTTCTTGCCTTCACCTCCCAAGTGCTGAGATTACAGACATATGGCACCACATACTGCTGCTACTGCTGTTGCTTGCTTCCCAATGGTGTTCTTCTTCTTATAGCTACAAGGTCCCTCTATGTAAGG